TCTCTCTCTCTCTCTCTCTGCCCCTCTGTCTTCATACCTGGCACAGTTGAATGAGGGAAGAGAGTGCGGTACATGCAACGCATGTCTACTATCTTGGAAAACTAATTCATGCGTAGGCCACTGCGTTTGCGTTTAGCTTGCCAAGGCATGTGATCTAATCGGCGAACATAAAATTTCTTATTGTATATAGACCACGTTTTACGCTGCAAGCAGTAAATTGATAAAGCAGACATTCCATGGTATTAAAAACCCGTAATTGCTGACTTGTAAAACGAAAAAATCGTTTATGGACCAATTATTAGAAGCAGACGTAATTTTAGAAGTCAAGTTAGGTGAACAAACGTTTTTGATTAATTCATCATCAGGCAATACAATAATATAAGGGGGGCAGGCTTAACGACAGTTTAAGCAGCCAATCAGTAGTAATTAGGGGGGATGAGGGGGGAGAGGTGTAAAGGGATCAAAGGGGTCAGACTCTAGTCTTAATTGGGGACCAGATAGGGGAAGGGGCGGGGGAGGAGAAGGGGTCCGACAATAAGTTCTTGTCACCCCATCGTAGCCCTAGTTACGAGTGATTGGCTGCTTAAACTTTCGCTAAATCTACCCTCCCTTATATTATTATATTGCCTGATGATTAATTAATCGAAAACGTTTGTTCGCCTAACTTGACTTCTGAATGCTTACATGGGTATCATCGCTGAACTTAAAGACAAAAGTTACTACAAAACGAGTACAATACCCGAAATTTTGCACGCATTCAAAAAATTAAACTGAATAAATAAGGGTATTAAAAACCAATGAATCTAATAGCAAAACTTGAGAAATTATTTATTTGCGTGTGATTTTGAATTCAGCTGCAAAGAGGCATGGTCAACGGTCGACATGCTGGTGGGATTAAAACAGCTTGAGATTAGCCTGCAAGTTAAACAATATTGCAAAAGCACCTAGGTTATCCGGGCCAACCTGTGTCACATTTTAGTAGTTCATTTAGCGATTCATGAGATTTTCTATCTACTATAGATGCTTGTTCCAACACTGATAGCGAAATCAAACTCCTGTACCCGTTTCCTTAGGCTTTTGCGAATGTATAAGTGTCACTTCTTCGAAATCGGTTTCAGGAAAGAGGGAAGTAATAAGTAGGGCCTGTTGAAGAGTCCGATCTTTACAGTTGTTGATTGTATTCATTTAAGATAAATAACGAAATCTACTACAAGTTTGCTTCGCAACTGCTTCTTGAAACGTAGAAAATTCGCACAGCATGGCTCAACCGTCACAAACATAAACTAATTGTTGGGCACATTCCCTTTTTTCCCATCCTGGCAGAACTGGACTCTACTCTCGCCAAACTTGTCTTCTTGAAAGTCCCTATACCCTTCATTTTTTCTATTACGTCTCAAGCATCATTCGGAGCGCCCTGAAGCCTTCAGTATTTACTAGCTTAGGGTGAGCAGTTGTTGTAAACAAATCACTTCCTTGCCCATGCTTCGTCAATTAACATCGGAGCACGGTTGCAAAATTTTCGTCCCGGGAGCAGATTTAAATCCCCCGACTGAAGTGCACCGCAACTTTCAGAATATTTATGGCCTTCACATTACACCAATAGTTAGCACGAATTACGATATGCATGGAAATTTTCTGACGCCAGAATTCTTGCACATAGCCATGAAAGTCCATTCGGGAGCTGCATTGGAATTCAACTTCAACAAAAGTTTGATTCATTGAAGTCTGAATAAGGCCAGGACAAGGAGGTTTGCACGATTAAATGATGTCATGCAACAGCTCATGTTCTATTTACCTATCAAGTTTCAGTTTTCTAGGTTAATACCTACCCGTACTGACTCCAGGTTTCTAAAGCGATTCAAGGCGAAGAGTTTGATGTTCATGGATAAATGTGTGGATCATTTCCCACCATTATCATCTCTTGTGAACCTTAGGTTTCAGCGAAGGGGATAATCGACAGAACTGTCGAATTTGGAGAAAAGCAAACCCGTCAGCGATCCTGTCGCACAAATGGAATTAAGAAGGAGCGATCGCAGCCTGACCCTCAGTCCTCCTGCCAGCCACTCCACACAACACAGACTGAGCTGACCGCAGTTAGCAACCCTCCAAGTGCGTTGGGGCTTGTATTCACCGAATGTCGAGAAGGTGTCCGTCACTTCTGTGGTCAATGCGGATCCTGGGGGCGCTCGTCGGCAACAGTAGCTTATGTAGCCCCACTCATTAATCCCTACTCCCTGCACGTTTTCCTACAAAAACGGTAGTTATAGGGTGTTATGGGTGGGGAATTAGGATAAGCAGTAGAAAATACCTTAATAAATGCTAAATGTGTTTTTATTTTACTGTATTTCGAAGTCTTGTTGGTTTATATCTGTAGATTTTTCTAATCTGTACTATCGTTTAACTTTTTGCGGAAAAGCCTGATTATCCAGTTGCAGGTATCTTGAATTTCCCGAAAAATTGACGTGGTGGTTAGGAGGTCGTCTACTTCAACTTACCTGAGGTCCAAGTTACCGTTCTGGAGTTAGATAAGTATAGTCTGTGGCGCGAAGCGCA